TAAAAAGTAGAGGCTAGCACGGCAGCTCACGCCTGTAATCTCAGCACATGAGATTGGGAGGCCGGGGTGGGCGAATTGCCTGAGCTCACAGGTTTGAGAACAGCCTGAGCCAGAGTGAGACCTCGTCTCTAAAAAATAGATGGGCGTTGTGGCAGACACCTGTCATCCTAGCTACCTTGAAGGCTGAGGCAAGAGAATCACTTAAGCCCAAGAGTTTGAGGTTACCATGAGCTATGATGTCACAGCACTCTACTGAGGGTGACAAAGTGAGACTCTGTCTCAAAAAGGAAAAAAAAAAAGTAGAAAAACCCGCTGGGCATTGTGGTGGGCACTTATAGTCCCAGCTACTGAGGAGCCTGAGATAAGAGGATTACTTGAGCCCAAGAGTTTGAGGTTGCTATGATGCCATGGTACTCCTCTACCCAGGGGAGTCTCAAAAAATAAAATAAAATAATGCTGGTACTGTAGTTCATGCCTATAATACTAGCACTATGGGAGGTAGTTGCTTGAGCTCACACCAGTCTGAGCAAGAGAGAGACTCCATCTCTACCAAAAATGAAAAACTGAGGCAAAAGGATTGCTTGAGCCCAAGAGTTTAAGGTTGCTGTGAGCTATCACACCATTGCCCTCTACCAAGGACAAGAAAGTGAGATTCTGTCTCAAAAAAAAAAAAAAAAAAAAAAAGGACCCTGCTTCCAATAAGTTTAGGTATATACCAAGAAGTGGAAATACTAAATCATGTGGCAACTTTAATGTGATTTTTTTTTTTTTATTTTGGAGACAGAGTCTCAAGCTATCACCCTGAGGAGGTACTCTACCCAGGGCGACATAGTGAGACTCTGTCTCAAAAAAAGAGAAAAAAAAGAAAGACTTTTTAAAATTTAGGACATATTTCCTGCTAATCCTAGTTTGCTGGGTTTTTTTTTTTTTTTAGACGGAGCCTCAAGCTATCCCCCTGGGTAGAGTGCCATGGCATCACAGCTCACAGCAACCTCCAACTCCTGGGCTCAAGCGAGTCTCCCGCCTCAGCCTCCCAAGTAGCTGGGACTATAGGCGCCCACCACAATGCCTGGCCATTTTTTGGTTGCAGCCATCATTGTTGTTTGGCAGGCCCGGGCTGGGGATTCGAACCCGCCACCTTACGTGTATGGGCTGGCGCCTTAGCAGCTTGAGCCACCCTGAGCCTAGGGTGTTTTAATAATAAATAAATGCACAGTTAAGTTGTTTTCTGTAACTATTAAGATATATAGATACATTTGATTACAACTATGTAGTATAAAAAATCCTACCTGTAGAGAGTCGAATTTTATAAAAAATGTTACCTGCATTTTCCTTTGGGTTAGAGAAATAAGAGTATATTTTTCCTATTTTCCTGTATTTTCCAAATTCTATTTAAAAGTATTTTCAAGTGACATATTTATTGAAAATATTGGCTGTTAGGGTAGAAAATAGAAAAATACACATCAAAACACAATAAATGTATTTACAGTCTAGTAGTAACTACGTTTCAAGAGTCTCTATTTTTGGTAGGAGAGAGAGAATAGAAAGAAAAATGTCAGCTGGGTGCCCGTTTCTCAGTGATTAGAGCGCTAGCTGGTGTACCAGGGCTGGCAGGTTTGAACCTGGCCTGGGCCAGCTGAACAAAAACAAACAAAAAAAAGAAAATAATTATTAGTGTTAGTTTTATAATAAATACCTTTTTCACAAGTGTACCTGGCTAACTCACAGGGAATCAGTTGCATCAGACCCCCTAGTTTACCCAGGGTCTCAGCTCGGCTTGCTACTGGGATTTGTCTTCTGTCAAGATGACAAGAGGCCTACAAGGCAGTAAATTATACTGTGTCATGATTTATCAAGCCCACAGATAGCAGGCAAAACTGCTGCAAGGATTTCCCATTCTATCATTGAAAGTACACAGAAAGACTAAGAAGCCAAGAAACATTGATTCTATTCGCAGTGCTGCCTTTTTGTTTAGGGGGGTCATTTAACCTTGCTTCCTAATTCCAATACTAAAGGGTCAGATAACTTGCGAATCTCTAGCTGTAGGTCATGCACAGAAAAGTCAGCTGAGTAGGGGAGATGCAGGAAATTAGTGGTAGACAACAGCAGGACTCCAAAGAGTTTGGGAAATCAGGAAGTTTGTTTATGACCTCTCAAACTAGGAAAATACAGAGTAAGTAAAACACTCAACAATGGGTCGACAGAAAAACCCAGGATTTCCCAAAATTCTCGGCAAGATTTAGTTAGACAAAAAATCAGAGTAATGAGAACACTACCAACAGGGCTTGAATGATCTAGGGATTTTTTTACGTTCTAGTAAAGAACAGAACTTGATGGCAGATTCTAATCACACATGAGTAGAATTTAGGTAGGCACTCCAGGCTAGAATGGAGAAGTGAAAAAAAAAATGTTTCTTGTATGTGTTTCACTGAGAGAATACTGTGATGAAACCTAAAAGGCTCATTTAGTTTGGAGAGTCAAAGTATTTCTCAAACACATTATTCAATAGAACATTCTAAAATGACGGCAGTGTTCTAAATCTGTGCTGTTCAATAGGGTAGCCACCTGCCAGATAGGGCTTTTGAGTACTGGAAATGTGGGAAGTGCAAATGAGAAATGTGATTTTTTTTAGGCTAGTCAAGTGAAGCAGCTAAGGAATGGCATTTTAAATTTATTTCACTTTAATAAACTTAATCTGAAATTAAATAGCTACATATGGCTAATGCCTACCACACTGAATAATACAGCAAAGGCCCCAGGTTTTGTTTTTGAGACAGTCTCACTATGTTGCCCTCAGCAGAATGCAGTGGCATCACAGTTCACAGCAACCTCAAACTCTTGGACTTAAGCCATTCTCTTGCCTCAGCTTCCCAAGTAGCTGGGACTACAGGCGCCCACCACAACACCCAGCTATTTTTTTGTTGTTGCACTTGTCATTGTTGTAGAGCAGGCCCAGGCCAGGTTCAAATCCTCCAGCCTCAGTGTATGTGGCCGGCACCCTACCCACTGAGCTATGGATGCCGCCCCAAACAGTTTTTATTTATTTATTTTTAATTCTTAGAGACAGGGTCTTACTCTGTCACTCAGGCTACAGTATAGTGGCCTAATTATAGTTCACTGCAGCTTTAAACTCCTGGGATCCTCCTGCCTCAGTCTCCAAAATTGCTGGGATTACACATGGGAACCACTGTTCCTGGCCTTGTTGTTCTTTGTAAGTTTAGTCAGAAACTTATACAATAAAAGAAAAATTCTTTATTTAATATGACGATTATTACATTGTACTTGGTAGCAATACTAACTTCCACAGTTGAGCATCTTTGTACATTGAATACTCCTTAAGTGGACCTAATTTTCATAGACTAGACATACACCATATGTATGTATCAGTACAGTAGGCCTACTTTCTTATGTTGACCACCTCTCTATATTGACTGGTTTGTTTCAGTCCCCTGAGTGGTCAACTTACAGAGGTATGTATATGCATTGTAAGTAGTCACTTAATACTACCACAAGAAGCTAAATCAATTCTAGGAATTCATGCATATTCTGAATATATTCCAGAGTATATTTAGATTAGCCACATTCTGGACTCAGCCTGAAGATGCATATACCCAAGATGAACCAGGTACCATGCTGGGCCCAAGTCACTTTCTAAACTAAGAGTAAAGTGAGATAAGAAAACTGCAAGGCTGAGCCAACTGCTCTTGGACCTGCAAGTGTCTTAAACTCAGACTAGATCTGGGCTCTGGAGTTTGTAAGAGCACAGAAATTCTTTCAAGAGCACTCATAATAGAATAAACTGGTAGAGGCAAGGATGTTCTGGCTCTTGGACTATCTGTCAGTGTACTAGGTAACAGAAAGTTAGAGTCCTATAACAGAGTAAAATTACAGATTTGTAAACTGGACTCTAAACCTAGAAATCCAGATATTTCTTCTTATTCTTTTTTTTTTGAGACGGAGCCTCAAGCTATCCCCCTGGGTAGAGTCCCATGGCATCA